TTGAACCTGGGAGGTGGAGGTTGCAGTGAGCTGAGATCATGCCACTGCACTCCAGCCTGGGCAACAAAGCCAGACTCTGTAAATAAATAAATACATACATACATACAGAAAATAGTGCATGGCTTTCAGAAATCCCCTATGTAGCAGAAACCACTCAGAAAAGTAATGAAGTACAGTCACACTGCCTGCCTTTCTTTTTCTCAACATTTGAAATATCTTATTTCCATTTAACTTCACTTCCATGTAAAACAGCCATTCTCTCTATACATTTTACCATGCTATCATATAACTCTTTAAATAGACAATAACATAGATAGAGTAGTCGAGTAAACTTACTGTATCCCATTACCCAGCTTCAACAAAGAGCAATGTGTGGCCAGTGTTGTTTCATCTTTTATATCATAGACTCTGCTCACCACCATCCTAGGTTATTTTGAAGGAAACACCAGATAGAATTTCATATATAAGAATTTCTAAAACATGATTCTTTTAAAAAAACATAGCCACAAACACTATCATCAAACTCAAAATATTAATGATAATTCCTGGGGCCAAGCATGGTGGCTCACACCTGTAATCCCAGCACTTTGGGAGGCCAAGACAGTCAGATCATCCAAGGTCAGGAGTTCGAGACCAGCCTGGCCAACATGGTGAAACCCCATCTCTACTAAAAATACAAAAATTAGCTGGGTGTGATAGAACATGCCTGTAATCCCAGCTATTTGGGAGACAAAGGCAAGAGAATCGCTTGAACTTGGAAGGTAGAGATTTCAGTGAGCTGAAATGGAGCCACTGCACTCAGCCTGGGCGACACAGTGAGACTCCATCTAAAAAAAAAAAAAAAAAATTAACAATTCCTTAAAGTCATCATATAGCCAGTGTTCACATTTTCCCAATATCTTCGATTTTTTTTTGAATTTCAAATTTTTGTTCAAATGTTTTTTTGAATTAGGATCTAAAATTATCTCCATATGACTGACTGATACGTTTACGTTTTTGTAACCTGCAGGTTCCCACGTCCTCTTTGTTTTCCCTCTTTGTTTGGTTTTTATTTGTCACACTTTGTGTTGTTGCTGTTCTTGCTGAGTTCATCAGTGGATGTTCCTTGAGTCTAGGTTTGCTGACTCAGTCCCCGTGGTGGTTTTAACATGCATTCCTTTGTATTTCTAGTAAATCAGTACTTAAATCCAGATGCTGCACCAAATCCATTTTTTTCCCAAGACTCATTCCCAGGTAATTTGTATACATTTCCATCAGGACAGTTCATAATGGGTGGTGATCCCTCATACTGATGATCATTGCCTTTATCTACAGGACTCATTCATTAGGAGCTGCAGAAAGGCATGTTTTGTCATGTCTTTTGTATTAGCTGGAACACTTTTATAAAGAGAAACTTCCCTCTCACCAGCTATTTGGTTATCTTGAGATAGAGACTGAGTAGGAGAAGTTACTAAAAGGCTTTTCTTTTCCTTTATTTACCATATTTTAAAATAATGAGGTCATTTCCTAGCATCCTCCAATGTGACTAGTTTTGGAGATTTTTGGTTTTCTTTTGTATCATATGTCCTCATTGATGGGTATTAATCCATTGTAAATACTAATCTTACTGATATTCAAACTTTTTTTCAGTTTTTCTTCTTTTTTGTCTTTTTTACCAGTAGGAGCTTATTCCAGTTGATCCTTAAGTCCTTTCAACAGAATCCTCATAGTTTTTATATTCTTCTTAGCCAGCTGGTATGGAAAGATGTTCTAGGATCTACATTTCCTGTCTTAGACCTGAAATGGCTGCTTCTTCAAGGATCCTTCTCTCCCTTTACTGGGAAGTCCATTCAGACATCACAACCTGGGCTCTAGGAGTGCTCATTGCGATTGGTTTAGTCACCGCTTACAACTTTCCAACGGATAGATCTGGGAATTTGTTTTTAAAGATAAATATCAGATGAGTTCTGACTTTAACCTATAATACTCCTATCACATTTATCCCACACATTCAGAATAACAGCAGATGCAGAATCACAATACTAACACTACCACCAATAATGTCAAGTTTTCATTGCAGTTCTTTCTGAATCTGGGGTATATACCGTTGGGAATGTGCTTCTCTGTGTGGCGATGCCATTAATGGGCTATGCAAGTGCTTCCGTTTGTTTAATTTCATTTTTGAGTTTTAGATAGTATCTGTTAACATTTAATTGTGTAAAATATCTATGTGACTTCAAATCTATAAAACAAGGTGCATTCAAGATAGACCACAGCCTGTATCTCTATTCTCTCCTTTTATTCCTTCTGTCATCCTAAAGGCCATAATTTAAAAAAATTCTTAGCTTATTCTTCTATTGCTTTTTTAAAATATAAGTTCATATATAACATTTTCCTATTGTTTAGGTAAAGCATAGTCTACTACATATTTTTTTCTCCATCTTTTATTGCTCAATGACCTCTTGGAAATCACTTGTTGGTAACGTTAATACGTAGAGCTATTTCCCCATTCATATGACAGCTACAGAGTACTGCATCCTGTGGATATACCACAGTGTGTTCAGTAAGACCCCTATTAATGGACCTTTGAGCTGTTTTCTGTCTTTTTCTACTTCAGACAGTGCTGCAATGAATCACTTCACGCACTGTATTCTTGTCAGTCTACCTTTGGGAAAGACTCCTCGGGGTGAGACTATAATGTCAAAGAATAAACGCATGTATCATTTTGTTAGATACTGCCAAACTCTTCTTCCTAGTTGTACCATTTTACATTCCCACCAAAAATGTATGAGAATGCCTGTTTCCTGGCAGCCTCACAAATAGAATATGTTGCCAAACTTCTGGATTTTTGCCAGTATAATTGCTAGGGTACTTATTTACTTATTTATTTACTACACCTTAAGTTCTGGGGCTCATGTGCAGGTCGTGCAGGTCTGTTACACAGGTGTACACGTGCCATGGTAGTGGTTTGCCACACCTATCGCCCCGTTATCGACATTAGGTATTCCTCCTAATTGGTAGGGTATTGTAATCCACTGTAGTTTCACTAGTTTTTCTTATCAGTGAGGCTGACTGTTATCCTTTCATATGGCTAAGAGCCCTTTGCCTTTCTTTTTCTAAGAACTGTCTTTTCAAATTCCTAACCCATTTTTCCACAAGTGGCTCACAAAGTGTAGTCCCTAGTCTAGAGGCACCACCTGGGAATTTGTTAGAAATGCGAATTCTTGATCCCCAAACCAAACTTACTGAACCAGTAACTCTGGGGATGGGGCCCAGTAATTTGTGTTTTGACAAACCCTGCAGGTGGCACTGATACACTAAAGAAACACTGAGAAACACTGGGCTATAGGGTTGATTCAACAACTGTGTTTTAACTTACCATAGGGTTGTCTAATTATTTTCTAATTAAACCAAGGCCAAACTGTTAATAAATTGTAGCTGAAAGATTCAAATGTCATGCGATATCCATCCATTCATTTGTTGATTCAATAATTAACAAATAGATATTAAATACCTACTGTGAGTCAGTCACTGTGACAGGCAATGAGGCTGCTGTGTTAAAATAGACACAGTCACCACCCCCAGAAGCTTGCCTTCCCCTGGGGAAGAACAAAACTAAAGGAACCAAGTTAAGTCTTAGCAAAGGGAACTGGAAGGTGCTGCTAGGGCAAGTGCCTCTAGCTAGTCTAGTGGTCAGGGGGATGCAAAGTAAAATTTCTGGGATAATACTTCACTTCCATCAAGTGGACCAAAATTCTAGAAAAGATAACACCTATTCCTAGCAGGATTGGGGCGGAGCCTCTCCAAAAGGCAATCTATTGATATCTATGAATGCATCAAACAAAGCAACACCACTCCAGGGAACTGATCCCATAGAAACAATGCCACCCACTCAAGGCTGTTTATTGCAGCATTGTTTGTTGTGGCAAATACTGGTTGCAAAGTAAATACCCACCAGTGATGGAATGATTGAATAAATCACGGTATATCCACACCATGCAGCCATCGAAAAGAATGAGCCCTACCATTGCCAAGGGTATTTCTATGATCTACACTAAGTAAGGAAACCAACAGGTAGAAAAATGGATATAATGCAATCTCATTCAAAAATACCTATAAAACCCATTTGTTTACATATATATATATATATACATACATTGATTACAATGATACACTGATGCAAGCATAGAAAACATTTGAAGGAATAAACACTGATATGGATGAGCCGTTATGGTGAATTAGGGCCCAATGTTCATTCAACGCCTTCAATACTGCAGAAAAAGAAAAGCTAGGAAAAAGATGCACAGACAACCCTGCAGGCCAACAGATGCATTTGCGGGAGGGATGGGAACAGAAGTGCAGCAGGGGCCACACGGGTGCTGCCTCGGCACTTTCTGCTGACAAGCATCTGTGCTAGTTATACCTTGGAATCAGCTGAATTCTGCATGTCCAGCTACTAGCTTTGTGGATACATATAGGAGGGGGATGGGGATCAGTTTTGCTGGCCTGAACCCTGCAGGCACGGCGTGGCTCTAGAGCCAACCCTGCCATGGAAGCAGTGGATCCATCCCTAGATCCTAGCTTTGGAGATGTGTGCTTAGAACCAGCAGGGCATGGAGCTCCTGGACTGTTGCAGGGATAGCGTGCTTCTCTCTGAGGTTCTGGGGCTCATTACTGGAGGCACAGCCTGGAGCTTGCTCCTACAGTCCTTGCAATGATATTGTGAGCACCCGCTTCCCTGAGCCAAATGCCAGTTTGCTTAAAATAGCTTGGTTCTTGCTTTCTGAGAAGGAAACTGTGTGATTCAAAGGGTTACCAGTCAGGGGAAGAGTGAGAGGCAGTTATGAGAATTTAAACATGAATATATGAAAGTGCCTTAAAAGCAGTGGTATTATTCTTAACTATCATTTAATCAATCATCCCTTCTAAATAACTGATGTACACAGTGACTTTCAAAAGACTTTTTATCAATGCAGAAAGGGCACTCCACCATGGAGCCTCGCCAAGGCACAAAGTCTTACCAGCGGGTGTGGAAGTGGGTTTTGGTGCCGGAAGTAAACTCCTGCGGGGTGCTGTCACACTGGAGGATGCTGGAGGGGCCACCCGGCTGGCCCCCTTGGGTATGTCCTTAGAAGGCAGAGATGCCTTCAGAACTGGCTGTTCTTCATTCCCAAAGGTTGAACCTGTGGGAGGGAGACAGCATGTTAATTATACCTTCATGAAAAATGGATGGATCCCTCACCATTTGCACTAGCCAACCAATCCTACCGCTGTCATCTGCTTTAGAATTTGATCTGATTCTTAGTGAGTGACCTTGAAAAGTATTTTCCTGGAACCCTATTTGAAAAAGAACTCCCTTTAGTCACTGAATAAATGTCTGTCACACAAACCCTGTGTACTAAAAGGGGCTCCACAAAAGCCAGGAGCCGCCTACATGCATGCACATGCACACACGCACACACACGCACACACACACACACACACAGTTTGCTTATGTGTATGTGCAAATGTATGTGTATATAATAAACACTTTTGAAAACTCAGAGAATAAATAGCCTATTTTTTTGAAATACAGTGTAAGTGACCCAGGAGAAGTGAGAATAGGAAAATACACATGTACCATGAGCCCAAGAATTCTATTCAGAGCTCCCTGAAAAACCCTGCTCATTTGACCTGCAGAAAAGGAGGCTTGGGATAAAGGTAGAGGGGTATGGAGCCTGTGGACAGAGAATCCCTCTGAAACTCAAGAAAGGTTTCTGTCTGAAAAGCTGAGGCCTCACCAAACTGGGAGGACCCTGAATTAGAACCTAGTGCTTCCAAGGTAGAAAACATTACTGATAATTGCAGTTTACTAATCAATTTAGAAACAGCCTCTTTGTTTATAATCCACTGCTGAAGATATGGCATATTGGGACTGTGTTCGTGTAAAATTTAAATATGCAAAGTTGTTTGGCCTAAACTTTTCCTCTATATCTTTCTAAACCTTGTGGTTAATACATTTTCAATCTCTTAAAGACAATGACATCACTATCTATTCTCTGTTAGAGGGTAAGTCTTCTAAATATACTTCTGAGTACAGCTGCGAGGCTAATCTATTAATTTAGAGAGCCTGAATATACAGAGATTACCACTAGTTTGGAATGAAACAGTCCAGTGGTTGGAACATGACCATCTACCATGAAAAATAAGCCACGACAGTTGGAAGAAGTACACAGCATTTTAGTAAAGGATTATATTTTTTGTTTTTATCCTTTTCAAAGGTTAGTCTGAACATTCTATTTAGATAAGGTCTGCATAAAAATGAAAACATTATTAAAATGGCTTTAGTGTTCGTAACATCCAGGCATTTTGGTCAACCATTTAGAGTGAGAGATTGTTGCTTTTCTCCCTCTTAACACATGAAATTCTGTTTAAAATTGTGGAGATTTCTGTTGTTTCCAAAGAAAAGCACATTTAGGAAGGAATCAAAGAATGTACTATTTCTTAAAACAGTATCTATGCCCTATAGTTCTTTTAAGATGTTGTGCAACGTTTTTTAAAATGTTCTACATAGAACTAAGAGAATGTATTTGACCTATGCAAAGAGAACAAATGCATTGAAACTCCACTGAAAGGATCTGCACTGTATCCTGGGTGTCAGATAAAAAATAATATAGATAAAAGGCATGTTTGATGCAAACCTAGCCAGGAAAAGCAACACCATGAACTTGCAAAACAGTGAGCCTCAGCTTCTGAATTATCCAGTGGATGTACCAGTCCAGTGCTAGAACTCAGAGAATCTCTCAGGAGCTGAATGATATTTCACATGGGGCATGGCTCAACCACTAGAAATATTTCACAAGTAATTATCTAATGTCTAGCCTCCTGCTGACACATTGCCAGAATAATCTATTCACTGAAATGTGTAGCAGAAGCTGAATTGAGCACAAAACCTCACACACAGTCTTTTATTTAACAATTTATTAAAATTTCTTAGGAAGAGAAATATTTTGTATCATCTGTAGAGTTCAAATGCCCTTTTATCAAATCCTCTTGCATCTGGCATCATTCTCTTACATGAAATTTATTATTCTGTGAACACGTCAATTTAGAGATTTGGCTGCTCTCCAGGCCGGGAAGTAATTCATCTGTTTGAAGTACAAGTATCAGGGAACTATGTACTTCCCTCTGAGGGAGGGCTTGAATTACCAAGAAACAAAATAATATAAAACACTATTCTTATCTATTATTGTGGGAGACAGCTGGCAATAAACAGTTCCACTTTTTGAAAACTGGCTTAAGTTGGCTGGTAATTAAAGACGCATTATTCAGTAAATGAAAAGTATTCTGAATTTGGAAGTAGCTGTTGAATTCTATAAATGTTCCAAGTGCTTCACAATAATGCTGACAACATTAAACCATTGCTTGGTGAGAGGAAGAAAACAACTGGAAATAAACTGCTTGTGTGAGCCAGAAAAATGTTCTGGAGAACTCAGCCAGTAAAGTGGTTCACATGGCTAATTCAGTCTTTTTATTCCCAACCAATCTGAACCGACTCCAGCCTAAACAACCTAGGAAATTTACCTACCCTTCCACTTGATCACAGTGCAGCAGAAGCATCAGCAAGGTGGTTAATGGCACAGATCTGGGAGCAAGATGGCCAGGGTATGAATACCACGCCCTCTACCTCCCGCCTCTCTGCATCACAGTTTCTTCATTCATAAGCGGGGATAATGATAATCTACCTCACAGAGCTGTTGTGGGAATTAAAAGAGCGAATGCCAGGAAATATTTTAAAAAGTAAAAGTAAGAATTGATATGAAAAAACACTCAGTGTCTGATATATAGTATGCTCTATGGGTTAGTTATTAATGTACATGCTAATTTTAAGTTCTGTGGCTAAGTCATTACAACACATCGTTTTTTTGTGTGGAAAAACCACTTGGAAAGTATTCAAGGATTAATATCAGATGGGCTGTTTGAAGTGAGAAGAAAGAAGAGGACTGAGGTAAGTCTGATAACACCTGTAGGATGAAAGACTAAAGAGAAGAGTGAGAGTTTGATTGTCTTAAAAATATATAGTAAACTATTCCAGTCATAGAAAAAGGTGAGGATAATAAAACAACTGACCATCAAGCTTAGGAAGTGTAAAATGACCTGGGAAAAGAGGCGGTTATGAGTTCTGCCACAGCAGACTTAAATGTACCTGCCAGCAGCTCTGAATGGAACAACGGAGCTCCCAGCATAGCACCTGAGCTCTGATAACAGACAGACTGTTCTCCTCAAGCACCTCCCTGACCCCCATATATACAAAGGGGCACCTCATAAACGAGAGCTCTAGCTGACATCTAGTGGGTATCCTTCTAGGATGAAGATAACAGAAGAAGAATGTGGCTGTACCCCTTGCTATTCTGCAGCCCCTGTGGGCAATTCCCAAGCAAGCAAGGTCTGGAGTGGACCTCCAGCAGTCCTGCAGCAAAGGGGCCTGACAGATAGAAGGACAACTAAAAAATAAAAGAAACAGCTTCAACATCAACAAAAAGTACGTCCACTCAGAGACCCCATCTGAAAGTCACCAATTACAAAGACCACAGGGAGATAAATCCACAAAGATGGGAAGAAACCAGTGAAAAAAGAATGAAAACACCAAAAACCAGAAGGCCTCACCTCCTCCAAGAGATCACAGCTCCTCACCAGCAAGGGAACAGAGTGGATGGAGAATGAGTCTGATGAATTGACAGAAGCAGGCTTCAGAAGCTGGGTAATAACAAACTTTTCTGAGCTAAAAGAACATGTTCTAATCCAATGCAAAGAAACTAAGAACCTAGAAAAAAGGTTAGACGAAATGCTAACAAGAATGAACAGCTTAGAGGAGAATATAAATAGGGCTGAAAAAGAACACAAGAACTTCTTGAAGCATGCACAAGTTTCAACAGCTGAATTGACCAAGCTAAAGAAAGGATATCAGGGATTGAAGATCAACTCAATGAAATAAAATGAGAAGGCAAGATAAGAGAAAAAAAAAGAGTGAAAATAAATGAATGAAGCCTCCAAGAAATATGAGATTATGTGAAAAGACATCATCTACGTTTGATAGGTGTACTCGAATGTGATGGAGAGGATGATTCCAAGATGGAAAATACTCTTCAGGATATTATCCTGGAGAACTTCCCCAACCTAGCCAGTCAGGCCAACATTCAAGTCCAGGAAATCTGGAGAATACCACAAAGATATTCCTCAAGAAGAGCAACCCCAAAGCACATAATTGTCAGATTCACCAGGGTTGAAATGAAGAAAAAAATGCTAAGGGCAGCCAGAGAGAAAGGTTGGGTTACCCACAAAGGGAAGCCCATCAGACTCACAGTGGACGTCAAATTAGTTCAACCACTGTGGAAGACAGTGTGGCATTTCCTCAAGGATCTAGAAATAGAAATTCCATTGGACTCAGCAATCCCGTTACTGGGTATATACCCAAAGGATTATATATCATTCTATTATAAAGATACATGCACACGTATGTTCCTTGTGGCACTGTTTACAATAGCAAAGACCTGGAACCAACCCAAATGCCCATTGATGATAGACTGGACAAGGAAAATGTGGCACGTAGACACGCATATACACTATGCAGCCATAAAAAATGATGAGCTCATGTCCTTTGTAGCGACATGGATGAATCTGGAAACCATCATTCTCAGCAAACTGACACAAGAACAGAAAAATCAAACACTGCATGTTCTCACTCATAGGCGGGTACCGAACAATGAGAACACATGGACACGGGTGGGGGAGCATCACACATTAGGGTTTGCTGGGGGCAGTTATGAGAGGGACAGCAGGAAGTGGGGAGGTTGGGGACGGATAACACAGGGAGAAATGCCAGATATAGGTGATGGGGGGATGGAAGCAGCAAACCACCTTGTCATGCATGTACCTATACAACAACTCTGCATGATCTGCACATGTACCCCAGAACCTAAAGTACAATTAAAAAAAAAAGTCAAGGGACAAAAATTATGATATAATCCCATGGGGAACAAAATACATAGGCTATAGTTCTATCCTTGATGTGTTTAAAATACTCCTCAATTTAGTAAGCTAAGTACAGAGGATTTATTTCTTAACATGAAAAAGATGGGAAATTAAAGTCAGGACTAACTCAAGTATACCAATAATCATTAATATTACTTAACATTAGTCTAGG